AGTTAAGCAGCAATCATTCGTCTAGTCCTAACTACCATCTTCTCTACACAATTACACCTCTAAATGCTTGCCACTGGAACGAAAAAATTAGACGATCACACACACACACACACACACACACACACACACACACACCCAAGACAAACATTTACTGGTCAAACAAGTCTTGACACGCGTAAGACAATACAAAAGGATGCTGCCAGATGTAGACAACACCAGAGTTAAACACCCGTGACAAACACACACAGCAGACACCAGCCCCCAACTAAACACCTGCAGTCCTCGCCAAACACACGACTGACAAGTGTACCTTACAAACACACCTTCACTCACCCCACACACCTGCAACGGGGTGAGAATAGCTTGAGCTACCTCATCCCTTTGTGTGTATTTTACATCAATACACTTATTTCAATTTCAATTTCACACACCTGCCTACATACACCCGCATGCGCCAGTGCACATATGCACACAGACGCGCATATGTGCGTAAATACATATACGCACATAGATGCGTACACAGTAATGAAAGGAGTCAGGACACAAAGAACTGCGATACCCTACATAAGTTATCACAGGGAAGGAAGGACCTCTACAAACTCCAGGTGTGGGTAAACAAGAGGTTGCTGGAGTTTAACCCCAATAAGTGTAAGGCAATGAAGATGGGAAAGGGAGGAGGACGATCAGAAGATGTTTATATCATAAATAGAACACAACTACATGTTGTTGTTTTAGATTCAGCTACTCAGAACAATAAGTACCAGTAGCACGGGCTATGGTGATCCCGTGAACAGCCCTACAGCAGTGAAACACTAATGGCGCAGTGATCTGCACTGATTCACAAACAGTGCTACAAAGCCTTAGTAAAAACCGGGCAGAAAATCTTGTGATAGTCGCTGAAATCAGATAGTTGTGAGAGTACTAACCAATCAGGGAAGAGTCGTCAAATTTCTATGGATCCCCTATCTTCTATGGATCTATGGATCTATGGATTCTATGGATCGAGAAACAATGGGCAGAGTTTCTTTCACCCTATGCCCCTGTTACCTAGCAGTAAAATACGTACCTGGGTGTTAGTCAGCTGTCACGGGCTGCTTCCTGGGGGTGGAGGCCTGGTCGAGGACCGGGCCGCGGGGACACTAAAGCCCCGAAATTATTTCAAGATAACCTCAAGAAGAATCCCCTAGTCCCATGTTGGAATATGTGGGAATGAACGAGCAGATGTGCTGGCTGCTGAAGGCGCTGAAGGAGACCATATTGAATACTTCATACTCAAGACTCTTCTACATATTAGAGGTATTGTCAGGCAACATCACCGTGACAAGGTAAACATTTTACCAATATGTCTCCGCTTCCACCGGGGATCGAACCCGGAACCTCAGGACTACGAATCCGAAGCGCTGTCCACCCAGCTGTCAGGCCCCCAGGCACCAAGAGGACACAAGCAGAGGAAGCACAAACGCGTTGCAGTAATGTCAGGAAATCCTGGCGCCCTGTACGGGTAGTGAACAAGTGGAATGCTGCGAAAAAAGTAAGTTATGGAAGCCACCTCCATCCGTAATTAACGCAAAATAAGACGATATATTTGAATGCCAGAATAGTTCAATTTGAGGGGCATAAGTAGCTCGACCTCTGGCCCCTTGAGGTGCTCTCGGGGCTTAGCGTCCCCGCGGCCCGGTCGACGACCTGGCCTCCTCCTCCCCTGCAGACACTGTTAGGTAAGTACCGGTAGGTGAACACAAAGACAACACACACTCCCTCACGCTGACAAAGACACGACCACACAAATAAACAAATATCTCCACCCTAAACAAAAACAACAATTGGGCAGAGCGACAGTAATTGTCTGTGGTGGTGTCTGCTGTACTTGCCTAGTTGTGCTTCCAGGGGTCGAGCTTCGGCTCTTTGGTCCCGCCTCTCTACCGTGCTGTGTGGTGTGGGGGGTGAGTGGAGCATTCACTAACCCCCCGTGTACCGTGTACAGGTCGTCTACACCTTGGGGCCTGATTCACGAAGCAATTACGCAAGCACTTACGAACGTGTACATCTTTCCTCAATATTTAACGGCTTTGGTTACATTTATCAAACAGTTTTCAAACATGAAAACTTGCCAATCAACTGTTGTTATTGTTATAAACAGCCTCCTGGTGCTTCAGAGCTCATTAACTGTTTAATAATTGTAAACAAAGCTACCAAAAATTGAGAAAAGATGTACAGGTTCGTAAGTGCTTGCGTAACTGCTTCGTGAATCTGGCCCCTTGTCTCCAGTGCTCAGCACACACCTTCCTTACTGTGCACACGATGAACTTGAACTCTAGAAACCATTGCATAAATGATTCTTGCAGCTTGTGTAGTGGTCTTGCAGTCTTTATCCTGTTAGCCTTTCATCATCTGCAAGCATCGATAGGGACTTTAGCCTCTCTGGGAGATCACTCATAAGTCAAGAATAATACTGATCCTTGTATTGGATGCTGTAGGATACGGCTGCTTTCCCACTGATTACTATTTCCTCTCTGGTCAGAGAGGAAATAGAGTCAGTCCAGAGTTCAGGAAATAGAGTCAAGAGTCAGTCCAGAGTCCAGGAAATAGAGTCAGTTTCCAAGTTGTGTCATACTCTTACGTGGGTCACTGTGTCAACTGCTCTCTGGAAGTCCACAAATGAGCAATCCGCCTAACTTTCTCTGACTTGTGACACTGTCATACGCCAGATTCTACCGTTCATTAGCCAATGCTGGTGTTTTGCTGCAAAGGCCTTACTCGTCAGCCATTCCAACATCATTATACATCACCATTATACATCACTTTATACATGGTATGAATGTATAAATTTAACTTTAGATTTAGGAAAGACTTGGGTAAATACTGGTTCAGTAACAGGGTTGTTGATTTGTGGAACCAATTGCCGCGTAACGTGGTGGAGGTGGGGTCCCTCGATTGTTTCAAGCGTGGGTTGGACATTTATATGAGTGGGATTGAGTGGTTATAAATAGGAGCTGCCTCGTATGGGCCAATAGGCCTTCTGAAGGTGCCTTTGTTCTTATGTTCTTAATGTATTGTAATAGGGAGAGTACCAGCCAATAATTTAGCAGCGTTCTCTCTCACAGCTTTTTACAAACTGGTGCCATATTGGCCGTCTTCCAGCTGCTTGGTAATTCCCCCGTTTATAGTGATTTGTTGCACATGTTTTTGAGTGAGCTGCTCAGGGCTTCAGATCTCTTTTAGTATCCACAGTGAAGCCTGTCTAGCCCCCGTGTGTTTGGTGTATCCGGGTCTTAAGAGAGCTTTCTTGCTTCGTCTCTGGCTTGGTTTAGCTTCGGTGGTAAGCTTGAGGCGTATCAACCACGGCAGGGTTATTAAAGCCACTACAAAAGTTTACTGACCAGCCAGCAAGTAAACTTTAATCCTGAACATAGTTGAAGATTAAAGTTAATTCTCAAGTGTATATACACACAGAGAGAAGAGGGCAGCCAACAGGTTCAGTGGTGGTTGTCTGGGGCACAAAGTGTTGGCAACAATGTACATAAACTTCAAAGTAACAAAGATTATTTCTAGGTGATGGTTTACGTGTAAGGGCCCAACAGTCTGCTTGGTCAAGGGGGCATGATGGCTCCAGGAGGGAAGAAATAGCCTAAGCTACTCTATCCCTTTGAGATGTATTTTATTCTCTCAATAAACGTCCTTGAACTTGATAATGGCTCCACAAAATCACATCTTCACCACCGCTCCTGTGCCAGGTAAGTCCACTACGGGCTCACCATAGCCCGTGCTACTTGGAACTTATTCCGAGCAGCTGAATCTATAACAACAACATCACACCTTTGTGTCATCCTTAGCACCTGAGGCGCCTCCTTGGACGGGTACTGTAATTATCTCAACCTACTTCCTCACCTGTCCTCAGTTTCATCACTTGTTACGACTCTCTCTCTCTCTCTCTCTCTCTCTCTCTCTCTCTCTCTGATGCTCGGGCTATGAAAACTGAGTTGGGTTATCCCTCTAGATGTTGTTGTTGTTGTTGTTAAAGATTCGCTACCTGGAACAAAAAGGTCCAAGTAGCACGGGCTATGGTGAGCCCGTCCCTCTAGCTGCTCTAGTATTGTTAAGGTAAGAACATAAGAACAAAGGTAACTGCAGAAGGCCTATTGGCCCATACGAGGCAGCTCCTATTCTATAACCACCCAATCCCACTCATATACTTGTCCAACCCGTGCTTGAAACAATCGAGGGACCCCACCTCCACAATGTTACGCGGCAATTGGTTCCACAAATCAACAACCCTGTTACTGAACCAGTATTTACCCAAGTCTTTCCTAAATCTAAACTTATCCAATTTATATCCATTGTTTCGTGTTCTGTCCTGTGTTGATACTTTTAATACCCTATTAATATCCCCCCGGTTATGTCCATTCATCCACTTGTAAACCTCTATCATGTCACCCCTAACTCTTCGCCTTTCCAGTGAATGCAACTTAAGCTTTGTTAATCTTTCTTCATATGAAAGATTTCTAATTTGGGGAATTAACTTAGTCATCCTACGCTGGACACGTTCAAGTGAATTTATATCCATTCTATAATATGGCGACCAAAACTGAACTGCATAATCTAAATGGGGCCTAACTAGAGCAAGATATAGCTTGAGAACCACACCAGGTGTCTTGTTACTAACGCTGCGATTAATAAATCCAAGTGTCCGATTTGCCTTATTACGAACATTTATGCATTGATCCTTTTGTTTTAAATTCTTACTAATCATAACTCCCAGATCCCTTTCGCAATCCGACTTCGCAATCACAACACCATCTAGCTCGTATCTTGTAACTCTATCATCATTATATATGATGATGATATATCATCAAGGTGATGTTATATCGCAACTCTTGAAGATACACTGGGTCGTCCCGCCGCCCCACTCTGTATCTAAGCATCACCAGACCTGACAGCTCCTACCTTGAGGTTACCTTACCTCTATACATCTAACCTTACCTTACCTTACCTTACCTTACCTAGCTCGGGTGATGTTGCTGTGCCTCTCAGCTCTGCTTCCTAACATCTTCATCAAACCATGATTTGACATCAGCGTCTCACTAAACATGAGTGGGTGAAGAATTCCTGAATTTGTTAAGACTTCTCGCTTAATTGAGTATCGACAACATCCCATTCACCGTGGCTCGTCCCCGTCGGTATAGCAGCCGTCTATTAGAACATAAGAACATAAGAACAAGGTAACTGCAGAAGGCCTATTGGCCCATACGAGGCAGCTCCTATCTATAACCACCCAATCCCACTCATATACTTGTCCAACCCGCGCTTGAAACAATCGAGGGACCCCACCTCCACCACGTTACGCGGTAATTGGTTCCACAAATCAACAACCCTGTTACCGAACTAGTATTTACCCAAGTCTTTCCTAAATCTAAACTTATCCAATTTATACCCATTGTTTCGTGTTCTGTCTTGAGTTGATACTTTTAATACCCTATTAATATCCCCATATGCACCTGACAGCATATTAGATATATGCTTTGTCGTCTGCCTCTTCCTGACAGCCAGTAGGTCTTCCAAGGCCTATGCTGTGACTGCTCACTTCAACAGCAAATCCTAATTGACTTTCCTCATGTCTATTACGTTCAGAACGAAGATTAGGTCGACCTAGAGACATGTGCGTTGGGGTTGAGAGGGGGGATGGAGGGGGAAGGGGAAGTAGGGGGGGGGTGACGGGGGGGGGGGTGACGGGGGGGGGGGGGCAGGTAGGAGGGGGGAGGAGGCGCCTCCAGGGACCGATAGCAAAAAACAAAAGGTCTTAATTTTAGCTCAAATTAGAGATTAGACAACACTGGGCCGCTGCCGCCCTCCCTCGCCCGCCCGCCGCCATGATAGGCTCCACGCTCTGACAAATGCCTTGTTTGCTAGTTAAACCTTGTGAGGTCATGGTCACTACCCGGGGGGGGAGGGGAGGGGAGAAAGAGGATTGGATGAGAACGAGACGAGGAGCGATAAGACAGGGAGAGAAGTGGAAGCGGAGAATACGTAACAGGGGATGGAAAAGGATTTTCATCAAGTTTCTCGTCTACACAACAACCCGGCACACACACACACACACACACACACACACACGTTCACAAGCCCCCAGTGGCCCTGACCAGACCCGCTTCAGCGCCACAGTCACGCACTCAACCCCACGTGCTGCTTGAGTGCTTGTACAAGTTCCACTTGTAGGGGGGTTAGCAGTAGAAGGTAAGCAAGAGGGAAGTGGAAGACAGGTGGACAGACCATCATGCACCTGAACCATTGTACACAACACTAAATAATCCTCCACTCTGACAACTTCTCTCATTTAATAGTAGCGAGTGAAGAGTAGTGTACGAATTATCGTCGTGGGTGCTTACTAGACACCCTACAGGCCTCGTCCGTGTTCAGGCAATGAGTCACAATAACGTGGCTGAAGTATGTTGACCAGACCACACACTAGAAGTTGAAGAGACGACGACGTTTCGGTCCGTCCTGGACCATTCTCAAGTCGATTCAACTTGAGAATGGTCCAGGACGGACCGAAACGTCGTCGTCTCTTCAACTTCTAGTGTGTGGTCTGGTCAACTCGTCCGTGTTCTCTATAAGTCAGGGGACCCAGGTCACGGGACCCAGGCCAGGTCAGGGGGCGTCGAGGTGGTCCCTATCTTATCATGCCTCTGGAAACAGGGGACACGAATAGGTCCACAGATGCTGGTGTGATTAGCCCTTCTCTCTGCCTATTACTGGGCGGCCTATCACCGCCAGGGACCACCAGGCTGGCGTCTGGTGGACGACCAGTGACAGGCAGACTGGACCTGGTAGTGGCAGGAGCAACAAGGTGCCAACATGCGTCTCTCATCCTTACAACAGTCCTTGTTGATCAGTCCAGCAACCAGGAGGCCTGGTCGACGACCGGGCCGCGGGGACGCTAAGCCCCGAAAAAAGCACCTCAAGGTAACCTCAAGGTAACCCCCCCCCCCCTGATAGCTTAACCAATGTGGTTCCTGCTTCCCCGCTCTCGCTAACGACTCATTATGTACCAACTCGTATAACTCACTTTTTACAAACTTTCTTGACAAACTGATTTTGCATTAACGAGGTCATTTACCTAACTAGTTTACACTTGTACCCGTGCATGAGCGAGGCTAGTTTTTTTTTTAGATATATACAAGAGTTGTTACATTCTTGTAGAGCCACTAGTACGCGTAGCGTTTCGGGCAGGTCCCTGGAATACGATCCCCGCCGCGAAGAATCGTTGTTACAACCAAGTACACATTTTACTGTTGAGTTAAACAGAGGCTACAGTTAAGGATTTGCGCCCAGTAAATCCTCCCCGGCCAGGATACGAACCCATGACAAAGCGCTCGCGGAACGCCAGGCGAGTGTCTTACCACTACACAACGGAGACTGTAAAAGTTAGCAACGAGCGCTCTCTCTCGTACTTCTCAGTCATCAAGAACTATCCACAACATGGGGGGCCTCGTAGCCTGGTGGATAGCGCGCAGGGCTCGTAATTCTGTGGCGCGGGTTTGATTCCCGCACCAGGCAGAAATAAATGGGCAAAAGTTTCTTTCACCCTGAATGCCCCTGTTACCTAGCAGTAAATAGGTACCTGGGTGTTAGTCAGCTGTCACGGGCTGCTTCCTGGGGGTGGAGGCCTGCTCGAGGACCGGGCCGCGGGGACACTAAAGCCCCGAAATCATCTCAAGATAACCTCAAGATAAAATAACAGCTCTGGGCGCTTTAGGCCAGGAAATAGTTAAATACACAAAGATGTTTTTACAGTTTAACTGACTCAACTGTCGCTAAACTGGCGTCGCCAGTCTCCTCTTTCCTCCCCCGTCGACGTAGAGCGACGGTCTCGCTTCATGCAGGTCAACGTTCAATCCCCGACCGTCCAAGTGGTTGGGCACCATTCCTTCCCCACCCGTCCCATCCCAAATCCTTATCCTAACCCCCTTCCAAGTGCTATATAGTCGTAATGGCTTGGCGCTTTCCTCTGATAGTCATAGTCTTCCTCTCCCCCCCCTAATCTGTGACTGTAATCTGTATAGTATATATATAGACGGTAATCTATAGTTATACAGTATACAGACGGTAATCTGTATACTATTGACGAAGGTTGAAATTGAAATAAGTTTATTGAGGTAAAATACACACCTCATCCCTTCGTGTGTATTTTACCTCAATAAACTTATTTCAATTTCAATTTCAACCTTCGTCAATTGTGTCGGGAGACTGTCCTTGTGTGGGGGCGCCAGACGGGACAACTGGAGACGGTTGACAACCCACAGGACTCCCCGGTGGTGGCAGCTGTGTACGTGTAGTGTGTCAAGCCCATCTGGGTTTACCATTGTGTACTAAGAGTGGTATTCCGGCTTGAATGACCCAGTTAAGGACCGTGTCTAGGCGTCCGGCCGTGTTTATTTCATATCTGACTTGTATTTCTTGTCATTTTGTATTACCTGGTTGATGGGGTTCTGGGAGTTCTTCTACTCCCCAAGCCCGGCCGATGGGGTTCTGGGAGTTCTTCTACTCCCCAAGCCCGGCCGATGGGGTTCTGGGAGTTCTTCTACTCCCCAAGCCCGGCCGATGGGGTTCTGGGAGTTCTTCTACTCCCCAAGCCCGGCCGATGGGGTTCTGGGAGTTCTTCTACTCCCCAAGCCCGGCCGATGGGGTTCTGGGAGTTCTTCTACTCCCCAAGCCCGGCCCGAGGCCAGGCGTGATTGACTTTACTTCCTGGGCCAAGCAACATATATACATACCTCTTGCCATCATCTTATTAGTGTTCTTCTCGCTTGCACAATGTCCTGGTATGCGTCCATGGGGAGCTGGTCGGCCGAGCGGACAGCACGCTGGACTTGTGATCCTGTGGTCCCGGGTTTGATCCCAGGCGCCGGCGAGAAACATTGGGCAGAGTTTCTGTCACCCTATGCCCCTGTTACCTAGCAGTAAAATAGGTACCTGGAGTGTTAGTCATCTGTCACGGGCTGCTTCCTGGGGTGGAGGCCTGGTCGAGGACCGGGCCGCGGGGACACTAAAAAGCCCCGAAATCATCTCAAAATAGATGCCTGAGTCCTCTGACCATTCCTGAACTGCCTGAATGAGGCAGGAGAGGCAGTAAGTGAAGTTGAGGCACCTATCTCGATCACTTGGCTACTTCACACACACTAAACTTCTCCACATTCTCAGCATCTTCGATTGTTTTGCCTCGAGTAGACCATTAACATGTTTACCAGGGACGGCTAGTGATGCTGCATCTCCCAACCTCACCTGATTTTCTCACTAATTGTTTGTGAGGCGCTACATCTTCCTTGAATCTAGAATACCATTAATTTTATCGTGTGGTGAGAACGGCCACCTTTGTGTGAAGAGATCCGGACAGCAATGTTGTCTCTGGTGGTCAAAGGTAATCTCTCTCATTAACTGCTTGGCATGGTTGAGATCGACTAGGCATCTGGAATGTATTGGTGTTCACCTGGCGGAGAGGAAGACTTGTACAAGGTCTTTGACCACCAGAGATGCTGCATCTGTCTGCTAAATGCATGCTCGCTCGCTCTCTCTCTCTCTCTCTCTCTCTCTCTCTCTCTCTCTCTCTCTCACACACACACACACACACACACACACACACACACACACACACACACACACACACACACACACACACACACACACACACACACACACATGCTCTCACACCTATTACAAGACCATCGACTTAATAATATGCCCCAGACAAACACAAACAGCGAGATGGGACAGAGCGGACGATTATAGGAGTGTGAGAGGCTCTCGTCCTGTGCCAGCACGCACTCACTCCGGAGAGAAACCCAAATAGACTCAAGAGGGCAAGATAGCACGGGGAATAACAACCTAGGGAGAAAATAGGACATACAAGAGGAGCGAAAATAACCCAGCCAGCCGTCTATAGCTGGTAGACGACCCGTGCGTCCCTGCGCCGTCATCTTTGTGGCGGGGAGCAACCAGGAAGGTTGTCTGTCACACACTCGCTTCCACAAACAATACGCTATTACCAACTGGCAGCCCCTGCCTCCTCCTCCTCTCCCTGTCACTCCCACAGTCCCCTCCCACGGCCCCTTCTACCCCTCCCACCATCACCCATTACTCCAAAGACCATCTTCCCATCACCTGCCACCACACACACATCACTAGTTAGCCCCATGACCCATCCACTCTACCCAACACCCTCCCACAGTACTGGGCACCCTCCCACAGTACTGGACACCCTCCCACAGTACTGGACACCCTCCCACAGTACTGGGCACCCTCCCACAGTACTGGACACCCTCCCACAGTACTGGACACCCTCCCACAGTACTGGACACCCTCCCACAGTACTGAGCACCCTCCCACAGTACTGGACACCCTCCCACAGTACTGGACACCCTCCCACAGTACTGGACACCCTCCCACAGTACTGGACACCCTCCCACAGTACTGGACACCCTCCCACAGTACTGAACACTCTCCCACAGTACTGAACACCCCTCCCACAGTACTGAGCACCCTCCCACAGTACTGGACACCCTCCCACAGTACTGGACACCCTCCCACAGTACTGGACACCCTCCCACAGTACTGGACACCCTCCCACAGTACTGAACACTCTCCCACAGTACTGAACACCCCTCCCACAGTACTGAGCACCCTCCCACAGTACTGGACACCCTCCCACAGTACGGGACACCCTCCCACAGTACTGGACACCCTCCCACAGTACTGGACACCCTCCCACAGTACTGGACACCCTCCCACAGTACTGGACACCCTCCCACAGTACGGGACACCCTCCCACAGTACTGGACACCCTCCCACAGTACTGGACACCCTCCCACAGTACTGAACACTCTCCCACAGTACTGAACACCCCTCCCACAGTACTGAACACCCCTCCCACAGTACTGGACACCCTCCCACAGTACGGGACACCCTCCCACAGTACTGGACACCCTCCCACAGTACTGAACACTCTCCCACAGTACTGAACACCCTCCCACAGTACTGGACACCCTCCCACAGTACTGAACACCCCTCCCACAGTACTGGACACCCTCCCACAGTACTGAACACTCTCCCACAGTACTGAACACCCTCCCACAGTACTGGACACCCTCCCACAGTACTGAACACCCCTCCCACAGTACTGAACACCCCTCCCACAGTACTGAACACCCTCCCACAGTACTGAACACCCCTCCCACAGTACTGAACACCCCTCCCACAGTACTGAACACCCTCCCACCCTATTAATCACCACATCACACCTACAGAAAAAGGAATAAGCTCGTTGCCGTGATAAACAACAGCCAGAAAGCTATTAATCACTCACCGTATCGCTGTCAAGGTGTTCCTCCACCAGCTAACCTCACTATCCATCAGCCATGGGGGTCGATGGTGGGCGGAGTGGGCGTAGCGAGGCCGGTGGGCGTGGAGTGGGTGGGTGAGAGGGTGACCGTGGGCGTGGCCCACTTTATCACGCAATGTCCCACAGCTTTAGCTCCTGCGGTGTTCTGCTGACAAGGAAAAAATAATGTTATTAGAGCGAGAGAGAGAGAGAGAGAGAGAGAGAGAGAGAGAGAGAGAGAGAGAAGAATCGTTGTTACAACCAAGTACACATTTTCCTGTTGAGTTAAACAGAGGCTACAGTTAAGGATTTGCGCCCAGTAAATCCGTCCCGGCCAGGATACGAACCCAGGACAAAGCGCTCGCGGAACGCCAGGCGAGTGTCTTACCACTACACCACGGAGACATTCACCTCCATCCCTGAGATAGGAAGCCTTCCTAACACCTGCTCCAACAATCTCAATTAAAGGATGGAGTAATTGCCGACCTGGAGACGGAGCTGGGAGCCCTTACCGCTGCCCGGGGCCATTCACGCCTCAAATTACAGTATTGGTAGCATCTGAAATGGTTACCCAGGAGACCAGGCCAAGATGATACGTCATAATCTATACCTGGATATACCTGAGGGAGTGGTTCAGAGGCGGGGCTCTGCTATCATGCCTCCGAGGCACGGTACACCACGGTACACAGCTACGGTGAAAAAGCACCGTACACTAAGAGACAAATTATCAATGACATAAGCTGCCACTCAAATACAAAACAGTAGGTAGTATGTCCTATCATCAGAGGCTGAGGACGCGTAACCAGTGGCCAGATTCACGAAGCACTTACGAACCTGTACATTGAAATTGAAATTGAAATAAGTTTATTGAGGTAAAATACACACAAAGGGATGAGGTAGCTCAAGCTATTCTCACACCGTTCAGCACATCGTGTTAATACATACATAGACACACATCACAAACAATAAACATATTAAACCTGTGGATCTTTCCACAATCTTTGGCGACTTTGTTTACAATTATTAAACAGTTAATGAGCTCCGAAGCACCAGGAGGCTGTTTATAACAATAACAACAGTTGATTGGGAAGTTTTCATGCTTGTAAACTGTTTAATAAATGTAACCAAAGCCGTCAAAGATTGAAGAAAGATGTACACGTTCGTAAGTAAATGCGTAACTGCTTCGTGAATCTGGTCCCAGGGGGATAAGCTGTATATCGTTGAAGTTCTCTACTTGTAGCGTGCCTAGGTACGCTATCTGCACTTTATCACTGTTAATTATCGTATTTTCTGTTGCCCAATCGAAGACTTTACTGATATCAGCGTGTAATTTTTCCATGTCTTCTACAGACGTAATTTTGTTGATTTTTTGTAAGACTGTGACATCAAGATATCACATAACTTTCAATATCTTGGAAGATATCAAGATAACAAAGATCAAGATAACCTGTAACGAATGAGAGCGGGGTTAGCTCTGTACTCAGGCTGGAAAGAAGAAAGCGCCAAGCCATTACTACTATATAGCACTCTGAAGGGGTCAGGATAAGGATTAGGGATGGGACGAGGGGAAAGGAATGGTGTCCAACCACTTATAGACGGTCGGGGATTGAACGCCGACCTGCATGAATCGAGACCGTCGCTCTACCGTTCGACCCAAATGGCTGGAGTTTAGACATTTACCGGCATTATTTGTAGTCTGTTCTTATAGAAAATTTTCATTCCACCTCCCAACTTTACCTGTGCAGGCGACGAGTCACAATAACGTGGCTAAAGTAAGTTGACCAGACCACACACTAGAAGGTGAAGGTGAAGGGAGGACGACGTTTCGGTCCGTCCTGTACCATTCTCAAGTCGATTCTTGAGAATGGTCCAGGACGGACCGAAACGTCGTCGTCCCTTCACCTTCTAGTGTGAGGTCTGGTCAACTTTACCTGTATTTACCTGTATTTACTTAACCCTTGGCTATAATTTTATGGGCTGTTGCTTCATTGTCCCATTTATCAAATGTTTTGCAAAGTCTGTGTATATAACTTGTGCAATTTAGTTTCTTGTGCCTCTGTAATGTCGAGTAATGTACCTGGATGTAATGGTCAGGTAGTTTTTTTTTTTTTTTGAGATATATACAAGAGTTGTTACATTCTTGTACAGCCACTAGTACGCGTAGCGTTTCGGGCAAGTCCTTAATCCTAAGGGTCCCTGGAATACGATTCCCTGCCGCGAAGAATCGTTTCATGACAGACAAGATCTTCCGGCTCTCAAACCGTGGTAGTGTGTGTTGTATAGCTCGTTCTTGGTCATAAGACTGGAAGTTGTCGTCTCAGGAGGCTCTCAAAAACTTAAAGAGTGATGTGGCATGTCTAAGTTACTGCTTCACTTGATAAATGGGTCAATGTCCCCAGTTTTAGCAGACAATTGTGGGACACAATGACGGTGGTTGAGGGAGAAAACCTGTAATAGCAAGACTCCGTCTAGGATACAGGTACCTGATTGATTGATGAAGATTAAGCCAGCCAAAAGGTGGCACGGGCATGAATAGCCCGTAAGTGGTGGGTGGCCCTTTTGAGCCATTATCAGTATCAAGAGCTGATACTGGATATCCGTGGAGGTGCGACTGCACCCTGCGTGACAGGCGATGTCTCCTGTCTTACAGGTACCTGTAAGATCCAGGTACTAATTATCTTACGATCAGATTACTTTCTTATTACTTACGAGATTACTTACGATCAGGAGAAACCACTAAGGCAATACAACTATATGGCACTTGGCAGGGATATGAGGTGAAGGATTTAGGATAGGACGCGCGGGGAGGGTGGAAAAGAATGGTGCCCAACCACTTGGACGCTCGGGGATTGAACGCCGACCTGCATGAAGCGAGACCGTCGCTCTACCGTCCAACCCAAGGCTTTCTGACTTGAGGGAAAGGGGGGGGGAGGTGGTATTGTACATGCTGCAATGGCGACGTGTTCTGTTTATTTATTATGCACCCCATACCCATCCCATGGGCGCCACATTAATGATCAATATAAGCCTAACATAAAATATAAGTGTATCAGGACTGATACATTAGATACATCATGTACTGAAAGCCACCAATCTTACAGCAGTTATAGAAAAAATTCTTGAGTGCTCGTATAAGAAATATCAACTACCTCAAGCTTAAGGTGTTTGTAAACACACTGTGCTTATACACACACGTGAAGCACGTGGTAGCGGAGCGGCGTGGCACACACCCTCCCTCGGTGAGCGCTAGGCGCCATCTGGCCAGAGCCTCCTGGTGGCGGGCGCGCCCATACCCCCTTGGCCGCCTGCTGTGTTGACAGAGGTGCCAGCTGACACTTTCCATTACCCCTAATTATTACTTTATATCTGTAATTATAACACAATCTATAATATATATTAACTGTTACAAACAATTGTTGTGACGCCTATATAGGTTTTTTATGAGACAATTCACACATAATTTACTCGCTTTATTAGAAATAACTATTCCCAGTACACAAAATATATCTATTCAACTATTGTAAATATCTAATTACACATCCATTCTGACAGTAATGTAACCAGTGTCCGCTCTAACTGGTCAAAACAATGCTCTATTGGCACCAATGTGGCACAATTGGGGTGAGACATAACCATCCTAATTGGGGGCCTGACAGCTGAGTAGACAGCGCTCGGGGTTCGTAGTTTTAAGGTTCCGGGTTCGATCCCCGGCGGAGGCAGAAACAAATGGAGCAGAGTTTCTTTCACCCTGATGCGCCTGTTCACCTAGCAGTAAATAGGTGCCTGGGAAATAGATTCCCAGGTACCTACGGGCTGCTTCCCGGGGGGGGGGGGGTAAAGAAAAAGTAGTTCTGCTCGAGGACTGGGCCGCGGGGACGCTAAGCCCCGAAATCATCTCAAGATAACCACCAAATTCATAATTGAATATAATTTTAGTCACAAACTCTCATATTACCCCCATAACCATACAACCATACACCACCAGGGGACAGACAGACTTGTAACCGTCTTGAAGAGTGAATTTGACACACAAGCCACGAGGCTATCAAGGTAAGACCAACCCTGTACTCTAGACTGTGTAGGCAAGCTGCCAACCCTTACAAACACGTTCAGAAATACTCACCTCGCCTCAACCCCACCATACACCCCCTTCCCATCCCCCCCCATACACCCCTTCCATTCCCCCTACACCCCTTCACGGCACTGTCCCCACGCCCTCACCACCTCCCCACGCCCTCAACACCCACTCCCCACGCCCTCACCACCTCCCCACGCCCTCAACACCCACTCCCCACGCCCTCACCACCTCCCCACGCCCTCACCACCTCCCCACGCCCTCAACACCCACTCCCCACGCCCTCACCACCCACTCCCCACGCCCTCAACACCCACTCCCCACGCCCTCACCACCTCCCCACGCCCTCAACACCCACTCCCCACGCCCTCAAGGCCCGTGGGAGCCACTGATGCAATAAGTGACAGCACCTGAGACGGATCAATGCCTTAATCCAATCCTCCTCTGGTGTCGCCTTTTTTTGTTTTGCCTCACAGGAGGGAAATAATGATTTTGAGATATATTTCTGTCCTGTTGAGGAGAGCGGCTCCTGGAGGACGAGGTGTGGAGGTCCTCCTCGATCTTCCAGGGCTCATTTAACCTTGTTTACCTGTTTGTTGGGTTTTGTTTTCATGTTGTGTGTGTAACTGAGGTTCGCGTGGGTGTGTTGTACCTCATACAGTCTACTTGTATACAACACCACACAGTTGTGTAACATGTGGCCAGGTGTGGAGTCACCGAGGCTTCAGGTCAGGTGTATACACACCAGGAGCCAGATTCACGAAGCAGTTACGCAAGCACTTACGAACCTGTACATCACAATGAAGAACATTTCCTGAAAACAGGAAGAAAAACTAATCCAAAATCAATTTAAAAAAGTGATGTTTAGAGAGATCTGATTCTCTTGAGTACAAGTACAGTGTACAGTACAGTGTACAGGTACAGTCATTGTTTCTGAGAAGAGTTATTAGGCCATGTATGGTGCAAGTTCAACCGAGTTTTGATGGATATGTTGGCCTGCGAACCGCTGCAAGTAACAACAACCTTATAAATCAAGTTATTGCCAATCCTGGCCCCTAGCTCTCCTGCTCTGAAAGGCTAAGCGAGTACCA